CATTGAACCTTGAAACCCTTAAAAAAAAGACACAGAGCCGAGTTACATAACACTGAACATCATAACTTATACTTTGGTGCTGCAACAACAAAACAATGGCTCAGTTGAAGACATTTCCTTCTTATTCTTACCCTGCAACTTCTCCTTCCCGACACAGAACAGGTTCGTTCCCACATTCTATTAACTGAAAAATCCTGACTTTTATTTTTGCATGCAACAATTTATTAATTGCATCATGCTTATTCTTAGATAATCTCGTTGGTTTAGTTAAACCAACGAGGTTATCTAAGCAGATTTTCATTTCCAATCCCACATGGTGTAAACACATTTTCAATAGTGGGGGGTATTTAAATCGGGTCTTAATAATCGAAGACTAATTTAATTATTAACGTCTATTATTTCCTATTGTTATTAATAGTTGAGCTTTTCAAATTTCAACTAACATCTTATTAGTTATAAGCATGTAGTATTTCCTATTGTGTAAAATTATTAATCAGTTGGGACTGGTTCATCCCTTTTCACTTTTATTTTGAGAACTAGCAGTCATTAACAAAATGTCATAACTGAATCTATAGACAAATAAATTTCTGAAGGGTTTATACGTGGCTTCTTAGGATATGATAGTTATTGTTGAAAATGCATGAGTTTATTTGAGGCAATGTGAGTTCATCACTTGATATATTCATTTGGTGCTGTTTGATATTTAATTTGGTTGTCTGTTATATTGATGAAGTTCTTTGGGCATGCAGTTATAAGAGCAGTGGTACACAATGATACAGACACAGAAATTTCTGAATCGAAGAAGGTTAGCGGGCTACGTGGAAAATTAAATAAGGTTGTCCTGGCTTACAGTGGTGGCTTAGACACATCAGTCATTGTCCCATGGCTGAGGTATAGACGTTTCTCTTATTCTTTTCCAGTTTTTTATTCAAATTCTGTTGCAAATATTGGATTTTTCCGAGATTAAGTTTTTTTCGAATTACTGATTTCTGTTTAGTACATCCTCCCATGAAATTCATGTGATACCATTTTGAGATTGTGTATTTGCTCTGATGAGTTTTAAATTTTAAAAAAGATGAAGCTTTGCAGAGAAAGACGGTAGCAAAAAATTGGCTATTCTTGTTTTTAATAAATTTAGGATGTGATATAGGATATTGAACACTAGATGACCCATTCAATTTACCTAGTGTTGCATACTTCTGTTCTTATTATATAATCTCATTTATTGATTTTGGCGTTGCAGAGAGAATTATGGCTGTGATGTTGTTTGCTTCACAGCTGATGTTGGCCAAGTATGTCACGAACTTCTATTTATAATTCATTTGCTGTAATCTAGATTATTGTTGTATGTGTGTTATTGCAAAAAGGTGTTTCAAGATTGTCAAATTCTGACCAGGGGAATTGGCTATATCCCATTTATTGTTTATATATGCTGCATGAGTGGTAACAAATCTAAATTCCATAGGGGATAAAAGAACTGGATGGCTTAGAAGCCAAAGCCAAAGCTAGTGGGGCCTCTCAGTTAGTGGTAAAGGACTTGAGGGAGGAATTTGTTAGCGATTATATATTCCCTTGCCTGCGTGCTGGTGCAGTTTATGAGAGGAAGTATTTGCTTGGCACTTCAATGGCTCGCCCCGTTATTGCAAAGGTATTTATTCTACTTGAAGTTTGATATTTCATCTCCCTTGACAAAGCCATTCATTTTGCTAGCTCCTAATGTAATGTTCACTCTTTATATTGAAAATGAGTCATAATCACAATGGTGGTGGGACATGTTTATCTTTACCCACCCTTATAATAGCATATACTGATGCCTACGTGCTAATAGGCCATGGTTGATGTTGCCAAAGAAGTTGGAGCTGATGCTGTCTCCCATGGGTGTACAGGGAAAGGAAATGACCAGGCATGTCTTAATATTAGGCTCAAAATACTACATCGTATCATTCATTTTCTACTATTACTCTCAAAATCACACATCATATGTATTATTTTCTTCTGATACGCATATAATCATTTAGGTTCGATTTGAGCTCACTTTCTTTGCTCTAAACCCCAAGCTAAACGTTGTGGCTCCATGGAGAGAGTGGGATATTACTGGGAGAGAAGATGCTATTGAGTATGCTAAAAAGCATAATGTACCGGTTCCTGTAACAAAGAAATCCATATATAGCAGAGATAGGAACCTCTGGCACCTTAGTCACGAGGTATGTTTTACAACTATCATTGTTCTAGCTCTTGTTATAGTGTTAAGTTAGCCACATTTAATGTTTTGTCATTTTGGGGATCTAAGCTTTCATTTAAATTTCAAGGACACAAGTTTGATTGTATTTTCGAAATAGTGGATTTGGATCCTCTTATAGTCTTATGTTACATAACCATTAGAAGTAGCTATGGAGAACAAAACACTCTCTCCTACCATGATAGTCATGTAACATGAGAGGATCAAACTTTGAAAATCAGCAGTTTACTATATGTTGGTAACTTAGGTATATCATGTTGGTACCTGAAATCAAAACTGTGTTCCTATTTCTTTTAGATGATCAAGTAGTGCATGGCTCACTATTCAACTCATCTTATTATAAGTGCTCCCATAGGCACAGTCCTTGCTAGAGCATCTGAGTCATCAAATTTTGGGGATGGGTTGAGTGATTTTGAGGGTGGTGACTTTGTCAAATCTGAGCCGTTGAATAATGATCAGATGGCATAGATTCAAAACACTATTTTGAAATAATGAAATCTAAGCCATCCAATCTGCATAAAAAACGGTTTAGATTTATCAAAGTCGTCAAAACCACCACCCTCAAAGTCACTCAATCATTTCCCCATCATTTATATGCTGTATTGTTAGAAGTTGCACCTTGCAGGTTTAAATCTTCATTTTGATCTAGGGCTATGCTTTACATAGTGTAGCTCCAAAACAATACTATGGAAATGACATGTTGCCTTTTCTCTAATATATGCAATCTGTGATACTGAAGGGTGATATTTTGGAAGACCCAGCTAATGAGCCTAAAAAGGATATGTACATGATGTCTATAGACCCAGAGGATGCTCCAAATCAAGCACAGTAAGATTCCTTCTTAAGCCGTGATTTGACTCTATTTACAGCCTTCGAGTTTCTGTTGTCTATTTAAAAATGTTGTACTTTACATTTATAAAAGCATGCATTATGTGAGTTGCAGATATGTGGAAATTGGGATAGAATCAGGGCTTCCTGTTTCAGTTGATGGGAAGAGACTTTCGCCAGCATCTTTACTTGCCGAACTCAATGAAATTGGTGGAAGGCATGGAATTGGCCGAATTGACATGGTTGAGAATAGGCTTGTAGGTATGAAGAGCCGTGGAGTTTATGAAACTCCTGGTGGGACCATCCTATTTAGTGCAGTCCGCGAGTTGGAATCTTTGACACTTGATCGAGAAACGATTCAAGTCAAAGATTCATTAGCCCTCAAGTATGCGGAGTTGGTGTATGCTGGGAGATGGTTTGATCCACTTCGTGAATCCATGGATGCATTTATGCAGAAGATTATGGAGACCACAACTGGTTCTGTGACTTTGAAGTTGTACAAAGGATCTGTTACTGTAACCGGACGGAGGAGCCCCTTTAGCCTGTATAGGCAAGACATTTCATCATTTGAAAATGGGCAGATATATGATCAAGCTGATGCTGCTGGGTTTATCCGGCTTTATGGTCTTCCGATGAGGGTCCGAGCAATGCTTGAGCAGGGTATCTAAGTGTTGATTTCATTTTAGCATGTACCTGATTGACAAAAAGGGCCTGCTTTGATGTACTTGATTCAGTGACATTGACTTGTTTTACAAAAGGAATTGATGCAATAAAAGCAGTGAAGTAATTTTAAAAAACGTGCTGCAAAGTTGTGCCAATAATTTAATTAATTTGTTGAATTTTCAATACCAAATATCATGCCAATAATTTAATCAATGTATTGTATTTTCAATACCAAATATTATGGGGCAATTCTTTAGGAGTTACTTATAACAACGGTTTTACTAGCCCTCTTAGCCTGCGTTTATGTGTCTAAGTTTACCTTCATTAAGATTTGAGGAAAACTGATGTGGAAGGATTGTGATACAAAATATATTAACTATGGATCGTGATACAAAATATGTTAACTATGGGCCAGGAACCATTGCCAAAGAGGGAATTTAAAAACCAGTATCAAAGACCAGGTTTTCTAGGATGAAGTAATAAGGGGCTTTATAAAGATGCTGCCTTAAGAATTGGATATGTATGCTTAACATATATATTGCGTAAATTGAATTCTAATTGTCATTCAAGTTGGGTACTCATATTCCTTGCTCTACCGAATCAGGCAAGTTAGATAGGCTCTCACTCAAAATCAACTCTCCTAGACTGGACCATGTTCTGAATCTATGAGATCTGGAAACTCTATGGATAGCAATCTCAACACTAATTAGACATTTTGAGAATCAATATATTGATTACATGGAATTGTAATGTCTTTGTAAGTGTAATGTTGTCGAATGTTTTAATGAACAAAACTATAATTTGGATGAGGAAGAGGAAGCAATGATGGAACAAGGTTGTTGGCTGCAACTAGCTTCCTTGTTCAGTTATTATATAACCTGCTAGTTGCGCACACCTTGGACCATGCAGTAGACTAGTAGAGTGTAGTATTCCGTAGTACTAACTTCTCTAGCCTCTAGCCCAAGGAGAAGTGAGCCAAAATCAACTCCGTGGTCGGACATGAACCGGACGAACTTCTGCTTCTTGAAACTATACGGGGGAGGATGAACAGTGGTGCTCTCAGCTGGTAATTCCACTACTCTTTGAACATGTAGGGAATGGATCATTCAAGTATGTGATACAAGGTTTTAACAAGTTAGGATTCGGTAGTTTCTAGTCAATGCTATAAAAGATACTGGCATTGTTGAATGACCAAGTCCCACATAGTATGATGTGTGAGATGAATTAGGCAAGATGCATATAAAAGCTGCACTCATGTATTTTACCTTTCATACCTTTCTCGGCCTTTTGGCTAAGATCAAGTGTAGTATCTGTTCTTATCAGTTTAATATCTGATATGTGGGTCATTGGCTCACACGATATTAAATTACTTTTTTAAAGGGGAGAGGCCATTACAGTAGCTTGCTACCTGGTCTCTCATTTGTCGCCTTAGTGTTGTACTAAAGCTTTGGCCAGGCCTACCCTCCAACACCAGTATTGTAATTTTTATTATTTAAAATTAATGCACCTCCTTATTCTTATAGGTTTACTTATTCAATTTACACCTTTGCAGTGTCTTTTGAATGTTTTGTATGGTTAAATAAAATATTCCCTGAATTCTGGAGTAGAATGATTTAGTCCCATTTTTTTAGAGAGATGATCTTATACTTATTTCAGTGTTACTACATCCGCTACAGAACTGGAAAACAAAGTTACAAACTTATCATTCAGTTCGGTGCTTACAAATTCAGAATTAGAAATACATTAGAATAGTGGTGATGAGATGTTTCATTAGGAGATGATAGACATGATATATAAAGTATATTGGATTGCTGAAAATTACGAACGAAAGATGAATTGTTTAAAAGGAATGTTATTGTGAGGGTAGATGAGATGATGTACATTTTTTGTAATAACCATGTGGAGACTACTGGTCATCTTTTTAGTTCTTGTGATTTTGTGGTTAGTATTTGGAAAGGATTTTACTCTTGGTTGCAGATCTCTGTTATACATCATTGCTCAGTTTTGGACTCCCTGAAGTTTCATGAATCCATCCGAAGTGGTAGTTGTGCAAAGTTGTGGAGAATGCTTTGGTCACATTGGTTTGGTCAGTTTGGATAATGAGAAATGAAGTAATTTTCTTAGAGAAGGCGCCAAGTTATGTGCACCTTATTGATATTATTCAAACTAGATCCTGGATTTGGTTATCTACTTTTGTATCTCATAATTCTTTATCTTTTTTTAATTGGTGTATGGATCCCAAACTTTGTCTAACTTTGTGTTCTTCAAAGTAGACTATTTGTTTCTCTTGTATTGAATGGGCACCCCTTGTGCTCAGTTTAATACAAGTTTTCTTTATAAAAAAAACATTTAACACAAACTGATCATGCAAAAGTATTTAGTTTAGTTCACAGTCTGTTGTGATATGCATTATATTGGGTACTAGTATACTCAAATCCCCTTTGAAAAACGTCTTCACTTGACCCTTACCAAACCAAATTTATGTTACTTAGAGCCTTGCATTTGGAATTTGACACTTTCTACCCTTTAGCTTTTTGTGATAACATTGAAGATTGTTTTTTGCACTGTGAATGCCTATGCTTCATAGGACTTGTCCCGTAATTGGGCCACAAAACTACTAAACAAAAAGTTAGGTTTCTATGATATTGTCAAATGTTTCAGTGTTCTACGCAAAGCCCACATCTTGTACAACAGTGTGAATAAGGGTGTTCCCTCAATATAAAAACGAAGTACATAGCTTCGTTAAACTCACGGAGCCATGTGTTAGGCACAAAGCGAACTATTCTTTCGCCTTTTACTAAAGAATACCGTGTGTTTGACACTTTAAGTGGCATACGCTTATTTTTGGAGGTGTCCTTCCTTTGAAGGGTCCCACATCTCTAGTCTATATATTTATCATCTTATGTTATGGTTCTTTGTTAAATTAAGTCCTGATTAGACTTTCTATTACATTGAGTTTCTTACCCGGTTTCTTATTTTTCATCTTAGTCTCATATTGTGTGTCTATTTCTTTGAAGTACTGAAATTTTAGACAAACTTCATTAGTGGGTTATCTATCGGAAATGTCTGCCAAAACTACACTATTCGAATAAGAATAAATTTGACTGGTTCATCTATTATTATATTTATTATCTTAAAAAATGTGAGCTTAATGAATTTGATTGTAAATTAATATTTAAGTGAATTTGATTGTAAATTAATATTTAAGGGGAAGAGCCATCACAGTAGCTTGCTCGGCTTTGAACTAAAGCATGGGCCAGACGCACCCTCCAATTCTAGTTCCACACTCTTTCACATAGTGGGCCTAATTAAGTTTTATTATTGCGAGTTGTAAAATTCTACTATGTATGCCGTTAATAAATGTTAGAACATAGGCTGATATCTTTCAAATAGCTCGTGATCATAATTGTAGAATATCTTTCCACCACTACTGATTGTGCTTGTAATAAATGTAGAACAATTTGTGAACTTTAATTCAGCTGAACTAGAGCTAAACAAATATCTCGTATTGAGTCAAGTTGAGCAAATCTTTTTTGTGTTGAACCGAGTTTAGCTGTGCCATCCTATCCCTTCAACGGATTCAAACTAGAATAGTCAGCTTCTCTGAACTCAATTTTAAAGTTGAGATCAAGATACCCTGAAGAACACCTACTCTGGCAGAGATGTTATTACCATCACATGTTTCCTTTACAATCAAATTTAACATTGACATTGGTTTGTAACTTTGAGTTAACTTAAGATGTTTCCACATTATTTCTTGAATGGTTAAAACCTCTATGCATGTGCCTTTCAGAGTACTTCTGATCAGGCACTACATTTCTACTGCACCTCCATTTCTTTCTATTAGTTCTTTTACAACTGTTTGGTCCAGAACCCATCATCATACTCAAATAATCAAAACCATGCTATTGTATCCAATAACAGGAAGATGAATAAATAATATATTTTTTCTCCAACTATACAAATCACAACACTTCTAACATCAAAAGCCTTCAAATTTAAGCCTACCTTTTAACATATAAAAACTATGGTGATAGACTAGTGTTGTTAATAGCCATTAGTGGAACCATAAGATGGATGAAGCTAAATCTCAACATGCTTACGTTGAAATAATATGATTAAGTATATTAGGAACATAAGAAATACCTAAGAGTTTGAATAAGAAATAAGGGTTGGAATAGATAATTAAAAAACGAGAAATACTTGAATGACATAAGGTGATAGACTAGTGTACACTAACGCATGAGAAATACTTGAATAGACAATGAATACGTTTCAAACTAAACTACACAAATAAGTTACAAACTACAATTGGAGGGGTGTGCCAGGCCCATGCTTTAGTGCAACACAAGGGCGACACATAAGAAGCCCAGTAGCAAGCTACTGTGATGGCTCTTTCCCTTAAAAAATTAATTTAATATCATGTGGACCAATGACCCACATATCAGATATTAAACTGATAAGAACAGATACTACACTTGATCTTAGCCAAAAGGCCGAGAAAGGTATGAGTAATATTTATGCAGGGAGGCTGCTTTTATATTGAGCGCTTGCCTACTTGTTTTATTTACTCAACGATGTGGGACTTGATAACTTACTACTTCACACACTTCACTACCTCCCCCTAACATTACTGTCTTCCAGTGAACTTGTCATGGAGGAAACCAATGGCAACAACTCCACCAACATCACTGAAGAAATTAAAATATGTTCGTACTTAGTAGTTTAGTGAATATTTGATATGAAACCAGTGCACTGATCAAAGTATGCTACAATAACCATTATTCCAAGACTTAACTTTACAGGATGTAACAGTCATGGATACACTTTGATAATGAGTTTGGCAAGTTAGAAGATCTTGAGTTACCAAAAGGTTACCCATCGTTTTTTATATACAATAGGAGCACAAGTTGGGAGAGGAAAATGAAAACAATACAAAGAGAAGTGCTTGTGAGAAGCGAAAGATAGGGTCAGATATAACTTGTCAACAGACTCTATAGCAAAGCTACAGGAAGATGCTGCTAGATCAGTGCACTGGATTCATATCAAAGTATGCCCCAAACTCATTATCAAAGTGTATCCATGACTGATATATCCTCTAAAGTTAAACCAGTCTTGGAATAATGGTTATTGTAGCATCTCTTGTAACCATTCTATGCCTCCAACATCGAACCACAAATCTAAAAAATATTCTCCCACACTCCACGAGATGCACTAATATCTTCTCCAACTTTTATTCTTAAATAGGCTGGTGACTGGTAATCTAATGCACACCAAAAGTGGGAAGGTTTTGGGAATTATTTTATAACCCAATTTAGATGGATTAGCTCTTACATTTTAATAGTTATGATGATTATATATGAAGAAAATGAATCCATTAACTCAAAGAGTAAGTTTTTTAAACTTACTTCACATCATAGTCATCAATTCTAGGAAAATCCAGTGGTTTGAATTAGTGAGTGAATCTAAACCATTGAATTTCTTTAGAATTGATGGCTAAGATGTGGAGTAAGTGGAAATTCACTTACTCTTGATACAATGTTATAAAAAACTCTTATTGTCATGGCATACATGTTTTTCTTTCTTAATTATAAGATGTTCAAACATACAATATTTAAATGTGTTAGGTCATTATTTTAATCAAACCAAATTAACAATATATTTTTTAATTATATTTTAACATTGCGATACATATTCATAATTTTTTTTTTATATAAATGTGTAGAAGTTACCCTAAAGAATTGTTTTGTTTAATCATACTTCTATTACAATTTTCCTATAGAAATGTGGAACATTAGACCATGTTGTATAAGTTATTACAATAGCATCTTACCAGTAAAAAAGGGCAACTATATAGTAACAGTGGATATTGAGTAATTATTATATACTTTAGAATAATAATCTTGTACCATGTAATAATTTCTCATAAGTTTAAGAGTAAGTCAGAATTAATTTTATAAAAAAATAATTATATAGAATATTAAAAAATTGTATAAAACTTCAATAAACTTTACACATTTTGCAAATAGATATTATAAACTATATTTTCTTCATAAATACTTTTTAAACTGTATAAATTGATGGAAACTAATCTTGTTAAGTTACTAATAAATCAAAAAAAAAAATGACTATTACCAAACTCACAAAAATAGCAATATAACAATACAAGTTAAAATTTAGGAACTCTAAGATTAACAAAATCTTAATACATAAACCAATTTCACTACTATTTAAAGGTTAAAAATAATCAGGAAGATATATAATTACAAATTTTAGGATGCTTTTATATAATTTTTATATTATTTTAGCATTTATTAGTAGTGTAAAGTCAACTTTATATATATAATATTATAATTTAATGTAACACAAATATATAAATTCTTAACTACAACCCAAGGTTGAAATTATATTCAACACAAAAAAGACACTCCAGGTTAGAAATAACATTGACTTTTACACGGCTAACAATTTAATTATTAAAAAGTCAAAGCAACTATCAACAATTTAAGGCTTAACATAAAATGTTAAGTTACAATAAAAATAAAAATAAAAACATTCAATATATAAAGATGAAACCTCTAACCACTGCATAATTGCAGCCGTATACAACTTTATTAGTAGTGGCTTTGAAATCAATTTAGAGGAGGCTTTAAAATGCATGATATTATGAACAAAAAACAACAAATTGACAAATATTATTCCAAGATATCTCAATAGTAATGATGACAAAATTATATGCACGAGATCATCTACTATCTTATCTTTTTTTCTTATCCCTTTTCAAAAGATAAACAAAAAACTCAACCTGGGAACCAAAATTCTGGAAGGCTCTCCACTCCCTTCAAAATTTACCAACCCAAATATAAGGAAAGTAACTTTAAAGAAGGTTTTATTTTACAGAAGAAATGACTGAACAATTCCAGTAGCCCCCCTATCGGCAAAAAACTACAAAAGTTCGGGCCACAGGTGATGGAGGGAGCAATAGGTGTCTACCAAAGAAAAAGCTCTCACATGAAATAGCTAAGAGATTTCTTTACTCTTGAACCACCTTCGCCATAGAGTTCATTCCATTGTAATAGTTCGGTCATATTTACCGATTCGGAGGAAACACTTGCGCATACCTGCCACAATATAGCGAAGTTATTTTTATTAGAAAAGATGGAGCCCTGGAAGGTGGGGGTGCAGCATAAAAGGGGTTTTCATTTCATACTTGTTGATGTGCATATTTGAAGTCGCCATTGTTTAAAGATCGGATGTCCCCACTACTACATAATGAAGGAGCAGGTCGACCTTCGGCTAGAGCAGCAGCACGTTCCTGCAATGCATCTCAAACATTAGATCAAAATCTCTTTTGAGTTCAGAGGTAGACCACAAACACCAATCAAGTATATAAAATACATATGTATTAAGGGGCTAAGAGCATCACCAAATAGCAATAGCATTGTCTCAACAAAGGTCATTATCAAGCTTAATTTTTACCACATTCAAAGAGCATATAAACTTTGAAGAATGATTCGTGGAATCATCCTAAGTATAACTTTACCATCAAAACAATAGAAGTACCAATCATAACACTTAACAACATACAGAAGAACCAATACCTTTTTTTCCTTTTCTAGTATCTCTTTAATTGGATGGTGTGCGGCAGCTACACATAAATTCTGCAATAAAAGAGCAAAAACATCAAATGTTGACAAAATAATAACACTAATATCAAAAGTATATGGTTACAGGAAATAAAATATCCAAAACCTTGAGATCACTTCCAGAATATCCATCAGTCATGCTTGCAATTGCATCCAAATCAATATCAGGGGACAATTCCTCTTTTGCCAGTATAACTTTCAAAATTTTTGCTCTATTGGGAGAATCTGGCAATTTTACCATCAATCTGCAGAAGAAGACCAAAGATTACAAAAACTTCACGTGCCTAGTGCCTCTCTCATCCAAAAAGAGAGAGGGAGAAAGGGGAAATCAAAGCACAATTGAACATGGTATATACCTTCGTGGTAGCCTCCTTATGACAGCCTCATCTAGGTCAAAAGGCCTATTAGTTGCT